TAAAGCTGTCAGACTCCCCTCCACCAGGTGTGTGCTGGCTTGTGGGGGGGGGCACTGGGGGGTGAGGAGGGGGCAGAAGCATCGAGGGCCCAGGAGACGCTGGGTGCTCTCCTCAGGGGTCAGCCCCAGAGGCCGCGGGGCTGTGGCCACACTCTGACGCGGGCGCGGGGCCGGGGAGCCGCCCGGCTCTTCCAGCAGCTTCCATCCCCTGAGCTCCTTCGTTCTGCCCTTGGAAGCCCCTCACATGCTCAGTGGGTCTGTGGGCCCCACAGGAAGCTCCTGGGCCCTGGGTCAGCTCTGAGGCCAGTTTGGGGGGCTCTGAGGCTGGTTTGGGGACTCTGAGGTGGTTTGGGGGGCTCTGAGGCCGGTTTGGGGGGCTCTGAGGTGGTTTGGGGGACTCTGAGGCTGGTTTGGGGGGCTCTGAGGCCGGTTTAGGGCAGCTCTATACCGGTTTGGGGCGGCTGTGTTGGCCGTTGGAGGGGTTCTGGGAGGAGGGGCCCGGACACAGTGGGAGACTTTACAGAAATGCGGGGGCTGAGGGAGCTGGGGCCGGGTGGGGGGCGCAGCCGGAGGAAAGCAGCGGAAAGGCACGTTTCGGGGAGAGCGGCCGGCAGACAGACGGCTCTTTCTATGTTATAAGAGAACACAGTGCGCACTGTGTAATAAATTTGAAAATCCTGACCCAACGGAATTATGGAAAATATAAATCAGAGAAATTGGATCAAGACGCACAGCCTTGCACAGCCAGGCATTCACGGAACGGCCTCCAGGAAGGCCCTGCGGGGGGGGGGCAGGACCCCACCACCAAGGCGAACCCCAGAGAGCACCGGCGCACGTGGAGTACCCCAACACAGGCCCCCTCCCCACACTGCCTCCTGTGTGTGGACACCCCCACATAACGCACACCCGCAGGCACACTCAGACCCCGTCCCCCGCCCGGGCCCCCTCCCCACACACTGGGCTACGTGCGGCGCTGCAGATGCACTACGTGACCAGCACGCGGGGCGCAGCGAGGTAGACACACGGCGCTGTGATACGTGACAGGCCCCCGGCCTGTGCCACCACCAGGCCGTGCGTCCCCGGCTTGTGTGACAAGGCAATTGAGCAGCACAGTGCTGACAGCAGGCAGACGCTGCCCCGGGGGCACCGCGGCACCCAGGAGCAGAGGCGGCTGGCCAGGGCTCCGCAGGCTCAGGGTGATGTGAGCTTCTTGGTGAAGGGCAGAGCCCTGGGGGAGCGACAGCTGGGAGCAGAGGGGGGCTGCAAAGCCACCTGGGAGTCCCTGCGAGTCGGGAGGCCCCGGGCCACGGGGGCCCGACCGCAGACGCTGACCGAGGGCCGTGCCTGGGAGCTGGTGCCATGAGACGAGGACGCGGAGGAAGCTGGGTCTCTAACAGGCGGGCCCCAGCCACGGTCCCCGCTCCGCAGCCCCGGCGGAACCGGAGGACGCTCATGGGGGGCAGATGCTCAGAGACGCAAAACCACGGCCGGGTAGGTCCAGGGTCAAGGACGGACTCGAACGCAAAGTAGGAAGCACTTTCGACCCCAAGGATCAGACACGCTGGGGCCCGGGGCTCATGGCAGGAAAGGGGGGAAGGGCCCCCGGTTTTAACAAGTTCAGCATCGACTGCAAAACATCAGACAATGAACCCAACACCTCAGGTTTAAAAAAAACACAACAGCAGGCAAATGACAAGGAAAAGGAGACAAAACAAAACAAAAAAACGCACAAAACTCACAGACAAGACCAACAACGTTAAAATGGGTTCTGCAAACGAGCTCACACTGCAGTAACTAACC